TCTTTAAGGGAGAACCCCCCTCCGAAAGATGATTTTTCTTAGAAAATTCGATTTTCCAAAAAGCACATAATCTTGTAGCCCTGATTGTCCTCTTTCAGAATATGTATAAATAATATATAAATGGAAGATATTCAACCCCATTTTGGTGGGTTACTTGAAAGCCATATATGAGAGAAGTACGTATTATCGTTTCTTCGTATTTCTTGACATTCTAAAGTAATCTTCATATCGAGTAATTATGCCCTTAACTCGTTTTGGTGGTTTTACAAAGGTTTTGTAGTTTCAAAACAGTGAAAATTCTGGAAAGGGTGGCGCTACAGTAAACTCAAATTCGTAAATTTGTTTTATTTTTTGTCGCAAATCGCATGAAATGAAACAACATTTTGTGCGCTTCCCAACGATGTGTAACATGCTACAAATTTCTACACAGACACACTGCAAACTACTTCACAATGTTGTTATTCGTTTTTCTCAGCTTCGCTTTTTTAACGTTTGTTGACCAATCCGGAGCATTTTCCCCGCCCACCTTTACCTTTTAATGAATATTGCTGATTTCGTTTTTATTCGAAAGATCAAACTTTTCTCTACAAATTGTTGGAACAGATTTCTAAAATACGTATCTGTTGTTCAGATATATGAAAATCCTGGAAAGAGCTCAAAACAGTCTTCCTGATTCTCAGTTCAAAATGACCACTACATTTCAACGAAAACGAATTTCAAAAAACTGTTCCAAAAATTTGTAGATACAAGTTTTTTCTTCTTTTTGAAACAATTCTCGCCATTATGCGTACTATTGTGCACCGGGAAAATGTTCCGAGTCAAAGGCCCCGTTTTTACGACTGCATTCTGTATAATTCCTCAATTATGAGAAATGATTGGTTCAAATTTTTATTATATGCTAGTTATATCACTTTTTCTATTTTCTGAAATTTTCATCGACATCCGTTGTACCGTTTAGAAGATAGGTTTCGGAGAGGAAGGGGGGGGTCCCTTAATTTGTTATTTAAATCTTTTATTAATATTAAATAAAAGATTTTCAAAATCATCTCGTCAACGTCGAATGGATCAACGTGCTGTACGTAATCAAGCAAATCTTCAACTAATTGATAAAAAATTAAATGAACTTAAATTTAATGAAGAAATTGCTTTTAACAATGTTGATCTTACAACATTTACTTGTTGTTTAACATTAAATAATTGTCAAGATATGATGATTGAAAGTCAAGATGATATTATGGGTGTTGGTCTTGTTGTTGAACGACAAGAGCATGTTGTTGATGCACCAACATTAATATCTGTTAAACATGTATCAGTAACAATTCTTTCACGTTCAGCATGTGATGATGCAATTAAAATGAAACTTAATATTGGAGATGCAGCTCAACTTCATGGAGGTTTTATTGCATCAAAAACAAATGCACCAACTACAAGTACGAATCTTAATCAACGAAAAATTAAAAATCAACCATCAGAATTTACTCGTGGTGTTGCAGCTGAACCAATAAATACATTTTTACCACTTTATATATGTGATGCACATTTTGAACGTGTTCAAGTTATGTTAGAACCTATACTTGGTTATATATTTACACTTGATATAAGTGGTTATAAAAGTGATCAACTCTTAGGTCTCTATTCAATTCTTGGTCAAATGATGAATGCTAGTCCTCGAAATAATTCTGAACGTGAAGAAATTATTTTATATGAATTTAAGCGTTTATGTCATGGCCTTCTTCCACAAACACTTGAATATCTTGGTCAAGAAAATGATATTTTGAAAAAATTTATGGCAAATCCAACTGGTCGTAGTAAAGCACATATACAAAATTTAATGACACTTTTTGGTTATATTCATGCATTAGATATAAAAACAATTGATGAATCATTACGTTATGCTATTGTTGAAGAAATCTATCGACGTCATTTTTCTTATATATATCATGGTACATCAGATAATATTATTAATGAACATTTACAATCACTACTTTATGATAAAGATGATGATAATAATAATAATGATACAAATAATGAATCAAATATAAATGATTTCTCTTATGTTAAAACAAAAAATGATAAAACAAATGATGGTCATTTTGGTCAATATGCTCGAGCAGTATTTAAAAAAAATGAAAAAAATCCTAAAATTCCAACAGAAAATATTGATATTGAATTTGAAATACCTGAACGACCAATAAGTTCAATGAATAATAAAATACGTTCAAAAATGATTGAATTATTATCTTCTTTTTCAATAAAACCAATTCAAAATGTTCTTGATCGTTTAGGTATTCGTATGATGGATATATCAAATGAACAGGAATGTCTTATACTTCGATCAATGCTTGTTCAATGTCTTCGATTTTATTCAAATGAATCAATTAATTCAGCTGTTTTAAATAAAACATTTTTTAATGTACAAACAGATTTTGAACGAATTCTTATTGTTGCACATGAAGAATTTGATGCTAATCGTGAAAATTTAGCAAAAAATAAAATTGAACAAATTCGTGCACTTGAAATAGCACGACGTACTGTATTAACAAATGATATTGGCGTATATCTTGGTAGAATGATGGTCTATGCACCAACACGTGGTGGAAAAATATTTGATACTATATTAAGTTTATTACTTGATCGTAGTCAAAAACAAGTGCCTTTATTAGCAGAAAAAATATCAATAATATTTACAGGTCGTTATAAAGAACATCGTGATGCTGAAAAAGAATTTGATGTATTGAGTAATGGTATTGCTTGGTTTCCGGATCGATCAATTATTACTCGTGTAAAGGAAGCACTTGGTGAAGATCAATGGGATGATTTAGATCGACTGATGAGAGGCCGTACTTGTGGTCATGTCTATCGTTTATCGGATATTCCTAACCGTCATGGTTATTGTAATTCACATCCAAATCCACTTTTGGTTGTTCGATGGTCTCCATAAAAACTTCCTTGCCTAAAAATTAGAACAAAATAAAATGTGATCTACATCTTAACATTCTGAAAAATAACCGACTTGTCCAAATGTAATAATATAATGCTTTTCTTACTTTCGCTTTCCAATATTCCAATAAAATAATCCCAAATAAGATTGAAATATAGGCCTGTGACTATAAATTAACATCATCACGCTGTTTAGTGTGAGCTACTACAAAGCGAATAAACCCTTCCTAAGAATGAAAAGCTAGCGGCAGGACTATAACATTAACTTCTCTATTGCTCTGGAAATGGCAGTGGAGAATGCTACTACTCGATCGGCACCGTGTATTCTTGATAAAACAATGCCCATGGCGAGGATGTCACTGCTCACCCAAAGGAAAAAAGATTTTAACATGGAAAGTTATCGTGACACAAATGGCATCCCTTCAAAGACTTTTAGGAGCTTACTGGAAATTTTATAAAGGTGGGGAACATTCTGGACGTCAGGATTCTGCTATTCACCCCTTGTTACGGACTCGGATCCCTTGACCTCGAAAACCCTTGATCAAACTTTATAAACATTCGTTATTTTCATGAAATAATTTTTCTCTACTGAGAAATCGATTACAGATTCGAATTCGTCAAACTCAAGAACCTTGTTTCAAATTCTATAAAGTTTCATTATTTTCCCGAAATACCTTTCCCGTATAGAGAAATTATGTTGATGAATTTCCAGTTATCCGTTACTCGATAATTGGTAACGTAATGGTAACTTGCCTACTCTAGTTTTGTTCCACTAGCAATATTACATTGTTATATAGGCATGCACCAAACCCAAACTCAAACCCAAACCGTTTGGGAGTTTGGGTTTGGGTTTGGGTTTGGGTGTGGGTATTGTGTTTGGGTTTCAGTGTCAGTTTGCTACATTAACCCACTGAACTACTGGACTTAACATGCAATGCCATTTGCGTCAAGTCTCT